GGAAAACACACGTCTGAACTAGCGGCCAAGCGTCCGAAGCCACTCCGGAGCCCTGGGCATACCGGTCACCCACTCCCCGCGCCCCCCACCACCCACCCACGCACATCACCAGCCAGTCTCACCAAACCCAGGAACTTGACTTCGCCGTGCCCCATGATCCAGAATTCTCTGTTGCTTTTCTTTAATTCCCACCGGTACCGGCGACACTTCTTCCTCGTGCCCACTTCATCCTTGGGCTGCGGTGACTTTACCTTTTTGGCCTTCGCATCCTTCTCCTCGGGTTTGTCCGGAGGGGGCGGCGCCCCGGGCTGAGCATCAGGCGGAGGCGGGGGCTGAGCATCAGGCGCAGGCGGAGGCGCAGCGGGCGGGGGCGCGGGGGGCGCCTTGCCCTTAGCCTTGTCTGCCATCTTCGCGGGTCGGAGTCCTTAGGTTTTCACTCGCTGGCTGCCCAGCCTCTCCCGCGGTCCCCAGCAGCTGGTCTGCGAGAGAGCCTGGAGCCCACCGATCTGCTCCAAGGCCGCGCTCAGCCAACGGCCCGCCTGGCCCAGCGAAGGCCAACGCCTGCGCTCTAGGCGCGCGCCAGCTGAGCTTGGAGTCTGCCGGGCCCACCACCCTTCACGTGGAGGTCCCCGCCGCGTGCCCTCTCCGCGGCCACCACATGGCTACTGATTTTGCGCTCAGCTCCCCAGGGCGTGGAGGAGCCTTGCCAGGTGGCCCCACCCCCTACTCCCCGGCTGCAGCCATCGCTCCGGTTGGCGGCGGGAATCCCGGGTCGCGGCCCTTACTAGGGCCATGCTACGTGCAGGAAAATGTAACGCAAATTTGACACAAGGCAACAGGAGGAAGCGAGAACGTCCCGATTTTATGGTCACACGTCGATCCAAATGGTTGGTAGCATCGGAGCTCAGTAGTTGGTGGGGTGGGAGTATGGGGTCGAGGACAGGTGCATCTTGGACTGTCCTAGCCCCGGAGCTGACGTTTTGTTGTCTTTGATTTGCAGCAGTGATTTCAAGGCCGACCTCATCTTCTTGGTGACCACAAAGGCATCGACGCCACACACGACTGCCGCTGCGAGGCACAGAGACTGTCCGGTACAGACCACATATGGGAAGGAAAGGTGGAATTATTTTGTTGCTCACAGCCGCCCCGTTTTGTCACCATCCCCACAAGGGTTTCTTAATCCCTTCTGACCCCCCCTCCTCTACCGCTTGGCATCTGCTGGGTTTTTCTCAGAAGTGGAGGGAGGGGATTTGCGGGGAGGGGGGGCGGTACACGCGATGCAGAGACACCAACGACGGACCAGGGAAGGGTACCGCCTCTCGGGCTCAGGCCTGTGGGTCCTGAGAAAGCCTCAGTGGAAATGGTTCAGGCTGCGTGTGAAGGGGCCTGAAGGAATCTCCAGGGACACCACCGGGGAAGAGGGGAACTCCAGGCATTGGGAAGCTGGTGTGGCCAAGATCCCTGAAGTCAGAGATAGGGATTATGGGATTCTCCATAAAGGGTGATGGTGAGGGTGGAGGGCTGAGGGTGGTGGGAGGCTCAGAAAGCTACAAACAGTTGACTATGCTGTGAATGGAGGCAGGGAGCTGGGGGTAAGGGGTCAGGGGATGGGACCTGTTGTCATCCAAGAGTTGATGGAAAGCTGGTGGTGGCCGTCCCAGCAGGTAGAAAAAGGCTTGAAAGCTGAGCTAGCAGTTTGGGAATCACCCACAACATAGAGCCTCCCAGTGTTCTTGGATGGTTTTCTTCATGGGCACGCGGTCCCTGGCTGCTTAATGAACTTTCCTTAACTAGGTATGTTGCCTCAGTTCATCTCTGAGCTCCCCCAGGGTAGGGCTCTCTATTCCCCAGGTCAGTACTATGGGGCTGACAAATATACGTTGCTGTTGTTTTAATGCCATCAAGTCATTTCTGACTCATAGTGACCCTGTATAGGGTTTCCGAGGAGTAGTTGGTGGATTTAAACTGCCAGCCTTACCTTGCAGTTCAAACCAACCTTGCGGTCCAGTGCTTATCCTATACTAAGACATGACTTGTTCCTTGATTAATTTCTGTCCCCATTGCTTAGCCCTGCCACCCCTTTTCCCCATCTTCTAAGCATTTAATGTGTCAATCCTTGTGCTCTTCTATATGACGAGGGTTTGTGTTCCAGTTTGTTCCAGCCTTGTGGCTCAGGGTGAGGTGTTCTGTACCAATGAAAGGAAAATGATGAGGATTTGACCCTATGCGCTTGACTTCCTCACTTCCTTCTCCATTGTTGTTGTTGCTAAGTGCTGTGGAGTCAGGATCCAACTCATAGTGACCCTGTACAGGGTTTCCGAGGAGCAGTTGGTAAGTTGGATCTGCCAGCCTTTACTGCCCAAATGACTTTGCAGTTTACTGCACTAACCGGTCACACTGGGCTATTCACTTTTGACAGTGCACCTTTTCCCTTTATAGTGACTCTTTGCATCTGTTTTTAAAATACAATTCTCTAGGCCAGGGTGGGGAAAAAAAAAAATCCAAATCCTAGTTGTAGACAAGATTTTGTTCTGACATTTCAGAAATGAGTGTGCAAGATTCCCAAATGGGGTTCAAGAGACTCTTGGGTTTATAAACAACATGGGCTGTTTGGAAAAGGCATATTAGAATCAGAATTTTCATGATCATAGTTTGTACAACTTCTCATCTTCTGAAGAAGTCAATGCAAGGAAGAGATGTGGTGGTGGGGATTTTGTTCTATAAATAAAGTAACAGTGGCCTGCCAGTTCTTTTCAGAGATCAGGGATCCTGATCTTAAATGGAGCGGTGAAGGCCTTCACTTACCCCTCCAATATAGAACAACCTCCTTCTGTTCTTTTCTTGCATCGCCAAGATGGCGACTATGAAAAGGAATGCAGCTGTAATGATGCTGTTCATAAGATCCTGTAACACAGAATTGAGAATTGTCAACTTTACATGAGAAGGTAATTCCACAAGATACTTCATTTGGTCAATTACCCATGTAAAAATGGGTGTCTTTTGAAAACATCCCCTTTGATTTAGAGAAACCATGAAACATGACTTGGTGATTTTGAAGTTGTCTGCAGAATCAGGCTTAACTTCACTAAAGAAAAGAAAAGCTGACGACAGTTTTTCAGACTTGTCTATCAGACTTTTCTTCAAGGGCAGAAGAAAGGGATCACAAAAATATCTAGCATCCTAGAGGCCTAGGGAGCCCTTGTAGTGTAGTGGTTCTGCATTGAACTGCTAACTCCAAGGTCAGCAGTTAGAATCTACTAGCTGCTCCGCTGGAGAAAGATGAGGTTTTCTACTTGCATAAAGAGTTACAGCCTCAGAAACCCTATACAGGGTCGCTATGAGTCAGTACCGACTGGACAGCCCAACACCCCTACTACCACCTAGAGGCCTAGTACAAATTGTTTTTGTTAAGTGCTGTCGAGTCAGTTCCGATCTTTATAGGGTTTCCAAGGAGCAGCTGGTGGGTTTGAACTGCCAAACTTGCTGCTCAGACTGACCTTGCGGTCCAGCACATTATCCTGCAGTGCCATACCACTCCAAATTGACCCTCTGCAATTGGATTTTTTTTTTTGCTTTAACAAACAGAACTTTTCTCATAGTTTAGGAGGCTAGAAGTCTGAAGTCAGGATGCCATCTCCAAGGAAGCCTTTGTGTCTGTGTTGGCTCTGGGGGAAGGTCCTATCTCTTCAGCTTGTTTCAGGGCTCCTTGGAGATCTCCGTGTGGCTTGGCCTCTGTCATTCCCCGTTTCTGCTTGTTTAATCTCTTTAATTTCTCAAAAGAGATTGGTGTAAAATATGCTCTGCACTAATCCTATCTCATTAACGTAAAACAAATATAAACCATCCCCAAATGGGCTTATCATCACAGAATCCTGGCTGGGAATTACAGCATTTTTTTTTCTGGGAAACAATTCAGTTCATAACAGTCATCAATATAGAAATGATGGTCATAAAAATGTACAAATACGTAAATGTATTCAGAGCCAGAGGACCTGAATTTAAAAAAAAAAAAATTTTTTTTTAAAAGAAAACTTACAATTTTATTTTATTGAAAAAATTACAGTAAAACATACACCAACTTTCTACATGCCCGTTTATGTATATATACAGTTTAGTCTTTGAGTTGTACCTCCATTCCCACCCTCCTTTTCTGAATGGTTCCTCGCTCAGTGACAATCTTAATTGCCCCATAGGTTTTACTTTATCTTCTGAATTTCTGTTGTCAGTTTGATCCCTTATAGTTCTTAAAAGAGCAAAATGTTCAGGAAGACATTCTGGTTAAGTTTATATACGGTTTGGTTTTAAGACTTTAGGGGATATTTTGGGGTTAAGAGAAAAGATTTTAATATCATTTCAGGTTTTTGATACTACATCAAAATGTGACTCATGGTAGTGTCTTAAAGATTAGCTAAAATGAAGACTCAAACCCATTAATAAACTTTGTACTATTACATTGAAATAAACTGGTGTCTCTTACAGAGAATGAATTTTTAGCTATGCATAACTTTGCAGTATCATTTGGAAAATATTGCTTTACCAAGTAATGCAGTCTAAAGTCGGCATATGACAATAAACAATATCAAAAGGTTCAAATTTGCCATCACCTGTCTGATGAAACTTGACCACCATGCCAAGTTCATGGTTATCCATAATCCTAATTATTGCATCAAAGCTTGCATTTTGTCATGGCAATAAATACTGTCAGTTGTTTTTTGAAGTGACAGTATTCATTTGAGAAAATGTCTTCCAAAGGCTTACAGTTAAATAGCCAGTGTTTGTTAGTCATTCTTTCAAACAAAAACGTTCTGAAAAAAGTGGTTAGTTTTACCCGTAATTCAATTACACATCTGCAATTAAACTGTCTGGATGTGCAGCAAAGGACAGTAATGGTCCCTCTCATTCTGTCACATGGATTCTAAAGAGTGTTCTCTAGGGCCAAAACTTAATTAAAACAATTACTGCTTCATCAACTACATCCTTAAGTGAAACTTGCATTTTAAGAAAAAAACACAGGTTATGTATTTTAAATTTTGATTTAAAATATAAAATGATTTGGGCTAAGACCCCAACAATTTTCCCGGATGTTTTTGTACCATGAGTACATATGTCAACACAGTAAAACTGGAGATGAATGCCTTAGTATTATTATATCTTTGAATTTAACTGAGCTAATGTTCCACAGTTGTGTACGGTTTTTGGTACTATGTTATCACTTTCATTATTCCACGTAGCTTTTTAATGCTAGCTTTTAAAATTTATTGAAATTTTCTGCTGTAGTCTATTTGCTACTATTGAGTGGTGGGTTTGTCTGTTGATGTTATTCAGCTCCTGTTTCTTCATTCACTTTCTTTCTAGTTGTTGTTCTATCCACCAAGAAGTAGTATATTACCACCTCCAACTATTTTTATAGATGTACTTCTTCTTTTAATTCTAAGTGTTTTCTTTATATATTTTGGGGCTCAGCCTGCTTGGTTATTTTATCCTTTTTTTTAAAATAATATTGCCGCTCCTGATCTGTTTTTATTACTGTTTGGTATTGTATCCCCATCCTTTGATTTTAACCTATGATGCCTGTGTGTCAACATACAGATAGGTCACTTTTAAAATCTATTCTACTATGGCTTTAATTGGATCATTTAATCCATTGCGGGAGAAAGATGAGGCTTTCTACTCCCGTAAAGATTTACACCCTCGGAAACCCTGTACAGGGTCGCTATGGGTCGGACCCGACTCAACGGCACTTAACAACAACAACAACATAATTACAATAGAGAAGAATTTACTTCAGTCATTTTGTCATAAATTTTTTGGCTTGATGAGGTTGATGACTTCTTTGTTCCT